AAATTATATATTTAAATTTATCTTATAAAATTATTTGGGCAATTAAATAAATTTTGCAATAATATAATCGGATAGTAAATTTTATTTCTTTTTTCTATATTAGGAATTTAGTAATAAAATTAATGATTTAAATTTGCATACTAAAATTAAATTCACAGTTATGATAAAGTTGAAATTGAATTCACACGTCTGTATGTGTTCATTGCAATATCATTTTGCTTTTGTTTTTTTTTTTTTGTTGATAATATTTTAAACTTTTTGAAAGCATACTTTAAATTTAACTTGCAAATAATATATTATTATTATTATTTCTAACAGTTTGCTTCAACGAGCAACTCATTCATCCCATACCAAATGGCCTAAAAATATTAAAATTATTTTTTTTTAATGAAAAAATTTCCTTTTTTTTTCTCTTCCTTCTATTTTCTTATCATTACATCACACGTCAATGATGCGATATTTCATTCTCTTTTTCCTCTCTTTTCATTTTCTCTCTCTTTCACCAACCATTTCAACTTTTGTTTTAACCAAAAAACACACAAATAGAAAGGGAGGAAAAAAGAAGCTTTTGCTACTTTCAATAATTTTTCTTCGTTTTGCTCATTCAACAACGCACAAAACTTTTCTTTTCTCTGTCATTCTCACCTTGCTGATAAGTTTGTTTTCAATTTTAAACTTTTTAATTTAACAAATTTTATTTATTGATTACTAAATGCCTAACAAAGTTAAGCAATTTACAAATAGCCTATGTTGGTTGTAAAAATATGTGAACGAAGAAAGAAAAAGCGAATAATGCTTAATGCGATATTAATTAATTCGTTTAATAATTTCGACAAAATTTTTCAGCATTCCCGAAAAAATTATTTTGCAATCGATGTGTGTTTATGGCAGTTCGCGGGAATATCCTGGAAATTTCCCGAGCAATATCCGGAAAAGGTGAAGCATTCCGGTAGGGAGGGAAAAAAAATTTATATGTGGCGGTAATGTGGCATGAAACGCCAAAATATTCGTACGCTGTCGCTAATTGTTTGTACTTTAACATATTTAGTTATTGGTGCTGCTGTTTTTGATGCATTGGAATCCGATAACGAAATGCAACAGGTAAGTTAATATCATTTTCATTCATTAATTTCTCAATCTAGTTTTATTCATTATTAAATTAATTACTGGAAAAGATTAAACTGATAATTTAGTATCAACTGATATACTAGTCTGTTATAATCATATGTATTTATTGATAAATGATGTGTTAAGATATTTTTTTAAAATCACTTTTAATAGTGATATTTTAAATTTCAGAAATAAAATAGCCCAAGTTTTTCCTTCTTCTGATAATATATCTTTATGATTCTCTCATAAGTATTTTGTGTGCTAAAAAATTTTCAAATATTTTAAGTAAACAGATCATAGTATTACTAATATCACTTTACCTTTTTTTTCAAAAAAAGGTGAAAATTTAATTATTGTCTAGAATCAAATTTATAGAGAGCATTAGTATTAAAAGTGAAGACAAGTTTAATCGATAAGTATAATATCAGTAATGCTGATTATCAAGTGCTGGAAGCAACAATTATCAAATCAGTGCCTCATCGTGCTGGTCATCAGTGGAAATTTAGTGGTGCCTTCTATTTTGCTACCACTGTTATCACTACCATTGGTAATTAATTATCATCACTTATCAAATGCATTTTCATTTTTGTTTATTTTTTGCGAATAGTTTATGCAAAAGAAAAACAATTAAAAAGCATAAAATTGGGAAATATATGATTAGTTATTAATTGTATATCAGCAGTAATGATTGAATTTATAATCGCGATTATTAAATTAATTCAATTCGTTCATTGTTTTATTTGTTGCTTTAAGTTTTTAATATGTAAATTTGACGAAATGACAATTAGACGTAACAAAAAGTGACAACTGTAATAGAAAGATGAATTTAAATTCAATATGATAGTTTAGTTGACGAAAATAATCCGAAAAGAAGTGGAAAAAATAATTTGAAAATCTAATCTGTTTTCTAATAAATTTGGGCAAAAATTATCATATGCTAGTTGACAACTATGAAACGTATCAGCAGATCCGAATTAATTATTTAAATTCCATTTTAACTCCATTTCATACAATTCAATATATGAATATGCAAAAGTCAGTGTCTCAAATTTGAAAGTAACATTTTTCGTAGCAAAATTTGATAACATTGCTTTTTTTCCCGACACAAACACTACTAGTTTTGATCATATTTATTCAATAACTGATAAAAGTCATTTTATTAAAATCATTGTTTTTTTTTTCATTCTTTTGAAAAATTTGACAAAGTCTTTCTCTTTTGTCAGTGAACAATTGAACTACAACTTTTCAGGCCTATTACCCTTTATTTTTATTTTACTTTTTTTTTTTCGTTTTATTGCTAAATCTAAAAATTGCTCAATTGTGCTGAAAGTATTTGAATTATCTTTAAATTATTTACTCATTCTTACTATAGTTATATGATTACGGAAATAAAAATTATTCCATTAATTTTCTTTCCTTAATCAAACTAAATTTATGTGAAATGCTACAACTTAATCGTTTATTAATAAAATAGAAAGGCAGCAAGTTTAGCAGTATTGATATTTGATACGATATGATAACAGTAATATATATGCTATTAATTATTCATCGATCATTTATCATAATTTTGGGCTACGGTCACAGTACTCCCTCAACAATTGGTGGTAAAACATTTTGCATGTTTTATGCGCTTGCTGGAATTCCTTTGGGACTTGTAATGTTTCAAAGTATCGGTGAAAGGTAACAAATTTTTTCAATTAAATCATAAAATTTGCAATTTCTTTTTTTTCTATAAAGTTAAGTAAAAAAAAAAAAAACAGGAATATAAATATTTTTTTTTTGCCGTAAACGATTTATTTGAGGAATATTAAAATTTACGATAAATTTAAACTATAATTTATTCATTTTCTAAATTAATTTTTTTTTTTTCATAACAAATTATCAATGTTAAATTGGTTGAGAAAATTAAGTGAGAGCTTCATTGAATTTTTGGCAAATTATCAAATTTAATGTTAAAAGTGATTGAAAGCGATGATAAAAACATTTGTTAAAATAACAGAGAAAAAGATAAGAAGGTTATCGATGTGGTATCGTTTAAAAATTTAATTTTGAAAAATATTCTAATAAAATCCAAATTAGAATGATTGATTTTCCCTTGATTTATACCTTTTTTCATTTATTACTATCCGATAAAAGTCCTTCGATTTTGGATTTCATTTTTAATAAGATTTTCAAACTGAAAATAAAAAAATTTTAAAAATATAATATTTCAAGCGGTAATTGAAAATACAGTAAACTTAAATTTTATATATGAATAACAACTAAATTTTTTTTCGCTTTTTTGACACTGCAAAACTTTTTCTTAATTCTTTTAAAAAATTAACTCAATGAAAAAAATGAGGATTTAACATAATTGTATAAAATTTTCATTTTTAAAATTACTTTAATTTAAAATGAAATTTCAGGATTAATACGTTTGCAGCAATGCTTCTACGTGTATCTAAACGCTTGGCCGGAAAACCGGATGACGTAACTCATTTGGATTTGATCCTCGTGGCTTCAGGCTGTGGTACATTCCTCATTGCTTCAGGAGCTTATGTCTTTCAAAGTTATGAAAAATGGACATATTTTGATAGTTTATATTACTGTTTCGTCACTCTTACGACTATCGGTTAGTGTTTGTTCAATATTATTTAGCCGGAACAGCTGAAATACAATAACTACGAAATCGATTTATTAAAATTGAAAGTTTGAGAAAAACAATTTAGATTTCTTTTTTAAGCAAACATTTAATAAAGATTTCAAGTTCATTTTTCATTTTTCATATGACAAAAGTTATTCTTGATTCTGTCTCCCTTTTTCCTTTCTTTAAAATTCATTCTTATAAATGATCTCAAATTTCAAAAAATATTTCTGGAAAAATATTTTCTGATTAAAATTACTTTAATGAAAGTTCTTTCTTATCGACGAATAATATTAAACTATACATTAAAATAAAATAATATTTTCAGAATTTGTTGCCAAATCTTATTCAAAATTCATTTCACATCTTTCTAAATTTAATTTATCAACGACTGATTAAGTTTCTGCTAAGAAAAAAACTCAAATTTTTCATATAATTGATTGTTCATAAGTACCAGCTCCTCAGGCATAATAATAATAATTTATTATAAAAATGAAATAAACATTTGCAGGCTTTGGTGATTATGTAGCATTACAAAATAACAGTGCCTTACAAAAATCACCGGAATATGTGACATTTGCGCTTATCTTTATCATGTTCGGTTTGACAGTTGTCTCAGCAGCAATGAATTTATTGGTGTTACGATTTTTAACAATGAATACCGCGGATGAAAAACGCGATAAACAAGAAGCACAACTTGCTGCCCGAGGT